AAAAAAAAAGAAAGAAAGTAAAAGAGATACAAAGTATCTCGCACGTTCTCTTCTTGTACTGGGAGAATGGCAATGGTCAACATGAATAACCTACTCAATGGAAAGGACTCGCGGTGGCTCCAGCTCGAGGTTTGCAGAGAGTTTCAACGCAACAAGTGTACCAGGCCTGACACGGAGTGCAAGTTCGCTCACCCACCAGCCAACGTCGAGGTGCAGAATGGACGGGTCACTGCTTGCTACGACAGTATCAAGGTAATATAACACTACATTATCTTATTATCGATTAATCTTTCATCTTCGTTAGTCATCGTCGTTATCTTCACTTCAATTCATATTTTATCCCGTAATATATAGGATTTATATATGTACATATACACATCTAGGAAAACTATGATTTTTCTCTCTTTTTTTCTTTATTGCAATTAAAATATATTTAGGACCCTATAGTATGGAAAAATAATCAAAAAAATTTATATTATTATACAATTTGGATTTATTAATTTATATGAAATTTATCACGAGATATTTGACATATTTCTATGTTATTTCATGATACATTTATCAAACGATTATATTAATACAATTATCGAATATCAAGCTTTTCAAGTTAGTAAATTTACGATTAAAAGTGGAGTTTAATAAATCGTTATAATAAAGGAAGAAACATTTTTCGCTATGAATTTTTTTTTTTATGCTACACACAAAAGATTATACGATTTTCTAATCGTGTAAGAAACGCTTAACTTATACATAACTATATATATATATATATGGATATATAGATGTATAAACGTGGGTACGATTAAATGGGCGGGGTGGGTGGTAGCCAAAGATACGAGCAGGGTGTGGCTCTTTTTCTTCCCCTATCGAAATGTCTTTTCTCGCGGATATTGAATGCGAAAATTGAATTTGCAGTTATTAATAGAGACAATTATTCAACGCCTGAGGGCAGACGAGAAGGGAACGGGGGGTGGTGCGGAGGGAGACGACGTCGGGGGAAAGAAAGTCGTTCTTTTCGTGAGTTTCTCCAGTTCGACGAATTGAACTACGACAAGGGGGGAAAAAAGGAAAAAGAAAAAAAGAAAAAAAAGGAAGTAAAAAAGAAAAAGGAAGACTTATAATACTTACTGCGTAAAAATCGCGTATAATCTTTTATCTTGAAGGTTCTCGTAGGTTCGTAACTCGTCGCGCAAATAGCCTTTTCTCTGATTAAATTAGGGAACGTTGATCTATATAACTATTATTTCTACTCATTTCTTTTTCTTTTTCTTTTTCTTTTTCTTTTTCTCTCTTTTGCAAATGATATTCGTCAAAGTGTAAATTACGTCTCCGAATATAGTGATGGATCAACAACGATTCATTTCTAAGCGATTTTTTTTTCTTTTTTTTTTTCAATAAAGTAATCATTCTTATTAGATATTTTGTATAATCAATTAAGCTTACGTTTACATTTATAATTTGAAAAGAAAAAACAGGAAGAAAAAAGATAACACACAATTCAAATCGTTTGTTAATTTGTAAAAATTATTCAAATCTTTTT